GCCAGTATTTCACTAAGCTCCAGTCCTGAACTGATCTTGAATAGGCTGCTGAATAGGAACAGTTCTTTAGCTAAGCAAGAAATGAAGACATGAAGAAAATAAAGTGGGAAAGAGAAAAATAAAAAGAAGGGAAGAGAAAAATCCTTATATTGCACAGATATTTGCCCTGGCTAGTTACACAGCTTTGCAAATCCCTCCTCCCACACACACACAGCCCCCAGCCCAGAGAGGAGCCTCATACACCATGGTTTCTGTTTTGTAGCTTCAGTCTACAAAACTAACTTATTTTCTAAGCGGCAGTGACCTTTATTCAGCATTGGTACAGCTACAGAAATCACAAAAGAACAGGAGTAAGACCTCTCAGAGAGAGAACATTGGTGAATATGGCTCCTCCATAATGAGCTACCTCCATACCAGCTATGTGCTGATTTGACTAAAGACTCCAACTAAAGACAGAAGGCCAAATCCTCTTGTAGTGTAAATTATGTAAGCTTCAATACACTCAGTGGTACTATGCCAGTAGTATAGTATCTTATTAAGGATCTTGTCCTCAGGGCTTTTCCCATAGCAGCAATCTTCCAATGCACTGAAGGCTAAGGATGGGATTCAGGTAGATATAGGATCTGGTTGCCATAGCAGGCATCCAAGTTCAAAGTTTAGATCCTCAGTTGCCCACACCCACCCACAGCATCCCAGCCATCAAAATCTCAGAGCACCTAAGCTTTCAGGCTTACCTGTGCTCAGGTTAGGCACTTCACATTCACACTGCTCATGCTTAGCACATTAAAGCCATTCTTGTGCCAAAGCCCCACAGGGTCTCCAGCACCAGGATTACCCCACGCTTCTGCAGCTTCACCAAACACCCAGGTGACATTATGATGTGTGCAGCAGACACTGCACAAGCAGGAGGGACAGGTGATGAGAACAGCTCTGTGTTACCCACCCAGGGGCTGGCAAACATATCCAACACTGAAAGCCTTTGTGTCTGCCTGACAATGCTCCACCAGTGACACACAGCAGATCTTTGTCCGATTTTCTTTTTTTTCATCTGTTTAGGTAACACAAGCTGCTCGGCATTTAAGGGCTGAGCTGCACTGCCTAGACATGTCTGAGCCTGTTACACTTTCTCTGCTTCTTGAAGGGCCAACACTAGTCAGCTGTGCACAGCAGTGCCAAATTGAGACTAGGAGAAAAGATTCTGTGGGTCACTTTACAGTTTGTGTGGGCCTGTGAGATTCAAATGATTAGTGGCTGTTGTTGACAGTGAACACAAAAGGGATACAATGATAACTGCAATTAATTGCTGTAGAAATTAATGCAACGATTCAAAGAATTTTTAAGTCAATTTTCGTTCACACCTTCTTGGCTGTTAGAATGCACTCTGCTATGAATGCACTTTTAAAATTTATGTGATTCATATTTGTATGATCTAAATATCACGCAGTTCACATAGTGGAAACATTATTCTGAAAATGTTCATTGCCAAAAGAATAAGCTCTAAAATGAGTTCACTGCTAAATTAACATCGCAAGTTATCTTAAGCAGAATATTAGTAAACTTGCAAATAAGTTGTTTTGCAGGAGGTGGGTTATAATCATGATGCAATAGTGTAAATAAATGGAATATCAACACAAATAATTTCTATGCATTCAAGAGAGCGTTAATGATTATTGCAAAAAATAGACTAACTTTCAGTAAGATTATGGAAAATTAGAATCAGTTCACTGTGGTACTAATGTTTAAAATGCATCTTCCAGGAACTTCACATCTATTAGTTTGGAATCCACAAAAGCAAGATAATAGAAATATCTAGAAGGAAAGCAGAGGTAAATGGACATTGGATTACACTGCTCTCTGAATAGAAGGGGAAACTGAACATACTCTAGTTTATTTGGACTCACAGTGCATTAAAGGAGAGCTCTTCTTTGGAAATATGTTTACATATTACTTACAAATCATGATTAACCTATAGAAATGCAATCTGACAATATGGGGAAAGGAAACAAATGTGTATTGGTTGCTTTCTGCATGATTAATGCTTCTTTCCATCAGACACATACATTTCATTTTATTAAAGATCACATTTCTGATTGCAAGAACTTGATCATAAATAAAGCATGCAAGTGGAAGCTGAAAATCCTCTAATATTAATGACAAGAAAAATGGATTTATTGAATAGTTACCTGCAGTTCATACATACATAAGCACATAAAATGATAACCCAGCAGAGGTACCATCTCCAACCTGGGAGAAGAGACCCTGTTTTATAAATAGCTTAATAATAATAGCAGTACATTTAGAGAAAGTTATTTCTATCTTCTCTGTCTAAAAAGAACAGAATAACAGCCATTTATCAGCTATTTTCTACCTTGTCACTGTATCTAGGAATTATAAAATTTACCTTTACTCGTTCAACTCTCAATCCAACATGGGTGGACTTCAATTTAATAGCTCTGAACTTAGGTACTTTTTGCCAATTTGGAAATTGGCAAAAAAAAAAAAAAAGAGTTGCTGATTAATAAAGAAAATGCTAAGAGCTAATCAAATGGGATTTTTTTGTCCAAAGAGCTGATATACAAAAATCTAGTGTATTATTGAAAACTTGTATAGTTCTGGGAAAAAAAAATAACACATCAGTAAACAAACATAATTTAAACAGGGCTAATAGCCTTCACATGACATAGTACAGTGTTGCTGAGGAAATATCTAGAGCAGTGCAGGGCTGGTTAGGATGTAAAGCAATTAGAAAACTCCTCCCTAAGGCTGGTAGGCAGCAGAAATAATTCAGTTGCACCGTGGAAAGTACCTGTCAGAAAAGTTCATTTTGTGAATCTACCAATAGCTTTCCTATCACCCATATGAGGCTACCTGACTGTTTGCCCCACATAGAAAGGAACATCTGAGGACAAAAAGTCTGCAGCTTCATCCCCTACATATCACACCCCCGGCTGGTTCATGGATCCTGGAGATGCTGTTGCCTCACTGGCTGTTTACTCCATCAAAGCTGCTCACTGTGCCCCAGCTCTGCTGGGCAATTTCCCTTCCAGTTTCCACCAGCTCAGCAGCTCATGGGAGTATCTCTTGCTCAGTCAGTGTCCAAAAGAACTGGGTGGTTGCAGATGTCCATTACTTCTGACACAGGCTAGCAAAGCACAAAACAGAGAGAGCAGAGCTGGGAGAGTCAGAGGGTTAAGTAGCAGGTAGAAAAAATCTGAGCAAGCTTTGGGCTCACAGTGAGCACCCAACTGCTTTGGAAGGAGCAACTGCAGAAGATCTGCTGCTTGCATGTCTCCAGCAGGCAGGGCAGCTGCCCCAGCTGGCATGGGACACATCCTGCAAAGAATGCTCAGTGCATCCAGGGATGCTGAGAGCCAAACTGAAAAGAGGTGTTTCTCACATAAACATCCTTGCAGGATATAGCCAAGCCTATGATTTGTCAAATAAATTCTTTTTAAAATAAATAGTAGCACTTACTTACAAAAAGTACAAGTTGGATTTCCGTTCCCTGCTCCTGTTCACACAATCTCACATAGAAATTTAAAGACAAATCTACTGACTCTAAAAAAATGCCTGCCAGGCAAGGTTACAGCAGTCACACATGCAGTTATACAAGAAGGATAGGAACTACCATGGAAAGCAGGCAATAACTTTTGTGTTGAAACAAAACTAATTAAATGGGAGATGATACATGTCTCATAACAATAGCAAATGAACTGAACAGTTCCTTGAAAACCAATTAAATCAACCTCTTACTTCCAAGACTTAGAAAGAAATTAATATAACCTTAATAAATGACATATAATTGAAACTTTAGGAAGCCATTCATGTAAAAACGATATCAGGTTGTCTTATGAACCCACAGAAAATAATTGTAATCTAAACATTTCCAATTCTGATTTGGGAGATCAAGAGTGAGATCTCCATGTTTCTGAGTGGGTGTTCACATTACACAGACTACAGATGGGAAGGGTGTTAGGCCGATTTACAAGTTTAAATCCCTGTTTAAAAAAACTATCTCAAAATATTATACAGATAGAATCAAAGTTGACAGAACTTGTCACAGTTCCATTCCCCAAAATGAATCTATTTTACTTGGTTTAATTATCCAGATACATATCTTAAATCAAAACCACACCCAAGCCCTCATTTCTAGCACTCTCCTCTGGCTGCTGTTGACAGCACGAGATCCAGCAGCATCTTACATGTTAGTAGCCACATCCACAGCCTGCTTCCAGGCCTCTCTGCTCAGTTCCCTTGCTGAGCACCATAACCAAGAGGGAAAAAAAAAGATACTTGCACAAGTGCCTGCTTGCCTATGTGTGTTCTCACACACATACACCCCACACCAGATAATATATAGGGAGAAATATCTAATCTCTTATTTTATGCTGCGCCAAAAATTGGGGAACAGGTGCATTGATGGGAGCTTATTGTATCTTTCTGTACTTCTAGTGAATTAATAATTCCTCTCTTCTTTTTCTTATGTTTTTAAACGAAATTTCTGGTACCAAGTCTTTTTTTCTGCTTTAGATGGCGATACAGTTATAGTTTCTAATGATTTTCAGTGACAATTCCAGAGTAAGGAACTACCTCTGCCTCTGCTCACCCTCATTCCTGTCCTATCCTTTCCCTTGTGCTGACATGACTGTTTTTAGGGACATAGGAACTGGCCCAAGGAAATAGGTTTCAATTTAAAATAGCACTGGAAAAGTAGATAAAAGCAGAGGAATGTTTTAATCCGAACCTGCTCCCTTACCTATTTTCCCACACCTCTTTTAAAAGATTTGTATCAAAACAACTAGTGAGGCAGGTGCAGGTCAGAAAAAATCAACTGAGGACTGAAACCCTCTAAATGTCATTGCTGAACAAGAAGAATGTGAAACTGCACTGTTAAACTGTACCAGGTATTATTTAGCTAGTTAAAGAAGAAGTAATACAGAGCTTGGGAGGTGAGGTTAAAGCCCTGTTTGCCATTAACTTCAAAGCAATGCAAAGAGGGAGATGAAGTCAATCTTCAAGTGTGCCACTGGTGTTTGAAATGTATTCATTAAACAAAGGAACTGCAGGAACTGTAAGCACATTTTAAACAATTACTAATTTTAATGTTATTTTCTTGCAGATTTTTTTATGCTTATGATGAATTTATTTGTTTTAGGGACTGCAGGGGACGATTTTACTTTACAGTTTTATTAATTATTTGTTCTTGCTACTGTGCAATAACTCTTTTTTGCCTTATTTTGTTTGTTTGTTTGAAGGCTTTTTTCCCTCAGAAAAAGTATTATTACATGATAGAATTACCCACCTGTAACAAACTCACTTCTGTGGCAGAAAATTTGTATTAAATTGCACTTCAAGATGGGAAGACAATCTACCCCTTAAAGAAAGATGAAAATAGTTGTACGGGAAACTTTTGGCAGAGAACAAAGGTTTTCCTAGAAAATGCTGGTCTATTGAGCAGATCCTTTGCTGTTTCTTCAGTTTTTCCATAGCTCTTCAAGATTAATTGTCAGTAAGAATATGCAGATTAGATTCTGAGTCACTTTATTTCATATATTTCACAGTTAATTCATGGTTTACTTGAAGTTCTCAGGGTTTGGCTCCATTAGAATAGCGTATTTAGGATTTTTACACAGTATTATTCATCAATAATTACTTAGTTGCTTAGGCCTTATTTTTCAAAATCTAAATCTGTATTTGGCTACATTTTAAAATACCTAATATCATGCTAGGACACCTCATAGGAGTGTTAGAATCCAAGGCAGCAAAATAGAGGTATCTTATGGGTTTGGTGAATATTTTAATTACTTCAGAATACAGAAAAAATCTCTACCAGAAGACAAGGAAAACATAATTTTACCGGTTCCTGTACCAAATTAATTTAATTGGAACACAAAATCACTAACATTTAATTCTAGTGAAATTTTTTAATTGATGGTATTCAGGCACTTAAACCAATTGAAGTTCTCCTGAAGACTGAAACAGTAGCTAAAATTGTCTGACTTTTAGGAACTTTAGGTTAATTTCTAAATGAACTTAAGGTTCATTTCTGTCAAAGGGAGGAATTTGTATTGTTCGGAATATATTGTTCTAAACAGCCACACTTATGAAGAATTAATCCAAAATCAGCAGAATAAGTACAAATACTCTCTTTGTTCCCTTTTTTCTAATCTGGCCTTCCACTCAGTTCCCTGCCCCAAGGGGTTCTGCTTCTGAGCTCTCTCTTAGTGTCTGCCTGCATCTTTCCTTATTTGCTGGTTTTTCTTTGCTAACATATCTGATTATGAAAAAATTCCCTAGAATCTGGATTTATGACTGGTGTCTATATGGCTTAGTTTTTCCTAGGTATTGCCACTTTACTCAAATATCAGCTTCTCTCTCTTTTTATATATGTCTATTGATATCCATATATTGGTTTTGATGGTGTTAATGAGAAGGTTCATAACATTTTCACTTTGACTCTAAGTTCCTATTCAGGTAGTTCCAGCTCTCATAAAGGGTAGTACCCTGTGTTTATTAAGACAAGTAACAAAACATGCTTCCCTTCTCTGTTTATTAAATCTATAAGGATCTGAGACAGGGATCCAAAGCTGTTTTAGACTTTCATATTGCCATGTATCACAGCAGCTTCAAAGCATTCTGTTCTCATCCAGGAGCAAATGGGCAGGAGGGAGGCACTGCCTGGAGTCTGGGTTTGGGTTTTTTTTGCCATTGTTGTTGGGAATTGGAAAACTTATGTTACAACTTTTTCTGCAATATGGCTAAGCCTAAAGACTTAATTTAATATTACATCCCAAGTATATTACAGATATTATTTGATTTGTTATTTTTGGAGCCTGTATGACAGCATTGGTTTTCATCCCAGATTACATCTAAAATAAGAAAGAAAAAAAGGCAGATAGATTTCCTAACAAGCAGTATCTGTTTACCATCAGTTGCCAAGAAACTATGTAGTGGCTTAGAGAAATTGAATGGTTTTTTTCTATGGCTTAGTAGTCCAGACCATCATGGGAACTTATGAAACTGGGAATCCACATGTTTCATAAAATTTCTCTTTTGGAAATAAAAATTTGGCTTAAATTTATTAAATGTTAAAGGTAACACAGAATAATTTTTCAGACTAAAATCCTTAAAGAGGAATTCATGTAATAATGTGGCCAGAAATTGTTTTTCATATTTCTAACATTCCTTCTCTGTTCATACAGCTCAAAATCTATCAGCTACAGGGTTTTATTTGCCTATATCTCTTAAAGAGTACAACAGATAGACCAAGAGCTAGCCTTTCCTGTACCATGATCAGCCATGTATCATTAACTAACCACAAATTAGAAGTCACTACTAATGCCTATGTATATAATATTCCCGAGTAATATCTAAAAAACAGTTGTCGCTATAGGAGTTTTGTAAATATGAGCCCAAAGTAACTATAATCAGTTTATTGAACACAATGCAGTCATTGACTCAACAAAATCCTTCACCACAAAAATGTGCAGGTTAGAAGATCTGAATACAGACCAGCAGTTGTTCTTGTATTTGCAGTAATTGAACCATTTCTCTAACTCTGTAGAAATATAGAAAAATCATAAAAAGACAAGAACTTTTCATTCTGGCAGTGTAATCACATTTAAATCCCAGTCAGTACCAAGGTTAATCAAAGGAGCAGGCTTCATTACAAGTGTTATCTGTAATTTTAAATACCTTGCAATAAAATTAGGAGTTAACTTTCACAGTCTTTCAAAACATGGATATGCCCCCGAAAAAAGCTATGTACCTGCAGATGCAATAAATAAAGCTAAAGCTGTTTAAATAACTACATTTAAGAGCTTTCTGAAACTGTTTGTAATATTTGATGAAAAAATAACTAAAAATTATTTTCTCCATGATTAGTTGATCCTACTAGTATAACCATAAGATTAAAAAAAAGCATTTATTCTCCTAACAATTTTTTTTAAGTGTTGACATAGATGACATACAAGAAACAAGACAAATATCAATATCTAAGCAATGTCTCCAGGAGAAAGTAGATTGAATGACTAAATATGGGTTTACCAAAATGACTGAGCAATTGTCCCTTGCCCCTTTCACGTCCTGAGGGTATTCATATCTCCCCTAATCAACGTGCTCACTTAATCTGGGTCTTAAGTCAGACTCAGAGTTGCTCCTACTCACTCAGTCTGCTTACCTTCTAACTTACCAACACAGCTTTCATCAACATTTATAGAAATTTAAATTAGTTTTTCATCGATAATTGTTTACTCCCTGGAAAACATACTTATGCTGAACCATAGCTTTATTTTTTCAAAATTTTGCCTCTAGATGCTGTAAAGTTCTTCAATTAAGAATTACAGTATAAAGGCAAAGATCTGCAAGTCCATATTCAAGATTTGGAACTAGATAACCAGCTAGAGATATCCAACTATACTTTTTTTTTAAAATGATGTTTCACTTACAATTTGTTAAAAATGGGATAGCAACCTCTGCTCCGAGATTCACGCATGGGAATATTTTACTGTTTTTCCTCCAGCTGATTCACAATAATTAACTGAAGCTCAGAAGTCCTCTCTTAGTGAGGAATTCTTTCAGTTGGGATATGCTTTGACCTCCTGCATAACAACAGATGGGTGAAGCTTGCCAAATATCTCAGAAAAGGTGGCTCAAATCAATGCTTTTTCTGTGTCCAAAACACACATCCGACAATCACAGATACCATGTACATGCTGCTGCTGTTCCCAGACTGCTATCTTTATTGTCAAGGTCCTGGTAAGATATGACACAAGGGATGAATCTCTAGACAGTTAATGGATCAAATGAAGCAAACACTATATTATCTAATTCAGACTCTGGGCCCCAAATTTTCAAGCTTTTCACAAAAATTGTAGTTAGGGCTAGAATTCCGGAAGTATACGTGAGTTTTTTTAAAGAAGCCAAATTCTCAGCTTGCCTGAAAAATACATCCATGTATGTCCATAGGTGATATACAGTTCAAGCAGGAGAACTTCCTCTAATAATAAGTAATTGGAAATAGTTCTAATAGGTATAATAATGGCTTGATGAGGTCATCTCTGAGCTGAGCCTCAGAATAATCTCTCCACTTTCCTTATAAAATATGCAGTTGCAAACAAATAATGATATCTCTTGATCTCCCTTTCTGGGATCCTTTTGAGCCAGAAAATTTTGTTAATAATTATTACTTGTTTAATAATAACAGACAACAGCAAAGGAACAAGTATAATACAAGAGATATATTGGTCATTTCAAGCAAATACACCATCTCTACAAACTTAGAGGAGAAAGCCAGAAGGCACATACTCAGATGCAAAATTATAATCACAGGCAGAAATACAGCATAAATCCTTAGCTACCAAAACTGTTCTAGGCTGGAGACCTATTTTTACTCCTTCTTTAATATCTATCATCTTGATATGTAAAGATGACAAAAAAAAAATAGTCTTTAGACTTTTTCACCAGTATGTTACTGGATGCTCTTTGCTGCCCCACTCAGTGTTTTAAGGTTTTGAGTCCATTGGTTTCACTTCTGAAAGGTTCAGAGGAGAGAAAGCCAAACAGAGAAGATGGATTTTTACTTTCTTCTGTTTAGCTCCAGTAAAAAAATTATGGCATAAATAAAATGTGCCAGGCCCAGTCCCTTTGAAGTTCTTACAGGAAGGTCATACACATTCTCACAAACTCTCACATCCCTCACAGAACAGGGAGAACAAGTAAATAAGGGGAGCTCTGGGCAAGCAGCTAAATACTGCATCTGTCCTTAGCTTCTAAAACACACCTATGAGGCTATAGATGGTCAAGCAGTCTGAAGCTGCTCTGAGTTATATCTGGGACTAATTCCAGAAAAGAAACTGCAGAAATGACATGAACTGTCTCTCTCCTTCCCAGCTATGCCAATGATTTCTCTGTTGCAGGCTTATTCTTACTGGGACTCACTGAAGAATCCCAGGCTTCATGATGTAAATAAGGAGAGACACTGTTATCCCTTGTAGAATCATCAGGCCACAACAGCTTAATCTTTCAGGCTCACAGTAGACTGTCCCCGTTGCTTTCTGAAGTGACACAGGA